CAAAGTTCTCAAATCAGTAACAAACATCATATGAAACATTTATCCCCAAAGACCATAACTCTAAATCAACTGGTTCTGAAATACACACACACACATACCCATGTTCTCTTGCACGAATGTGCCTATAAAGGAAGGTGGCCAGATTTTGATTGAACAAAGTTCTTAGTCAAGACTGTTGATACACACCTGTATTCCAAGCACTGGGGGGTTGCTAAGCAGGAGGATCGAAGTTAGAGGCCACCCTGGGCTATATAGCAAGTTCAAAACCATTTGAACTATGTAATTCAGACCCTATCTCCAAAGAGAAAACAAAAGGTAAAATCTTGGCACAATGAGCCACTGGAGCAGGAAAAGAAGCAATGATGGGCCAGATGGTGTGAAAATCAGCAAGACCAGAGGCTTGCTATATTTGGAATCTATTATGGAGGTTTGTTGAGGACCCATTCTGTGTGGGATGGAGGCAGAGATGAATTAAGAATGGCTAGTAGATGTTTCACCTAAGCAGAATTGGGAGGGGGGCAGAGACACACTCTCATGAAAATAATAGGTTAAGAAATGGACATCATGGGGCTGGGAAAGTGGCTCAGTGGTAGAGTGCTTGCCTTGCATTGGTGAGGCCCTGGGTTCAATTCCTCAGCACCGCATAAGCAGAAAAAGCTGGAAGTGGCACTGTGGATCAAGTGGTAGAGCACTAGCCTTGAGATAAGCGCTGAGGGACAATGCTCAGGCCCAGAGTTCAGGCCCCACGACCGACCAAAAAAAAGAAAACAAGAAATGGACATCAGGCTGGGCACCAATGGCTCATACCTGTAATCCTAGCTTCTCAGGAAGCTGAGCACAGTTCAAAGCCAGCCTGGGCAGGAAAGTCTGTGAGACTCTTATCTCCAATAAACCACTCAGAAAACCAGAAGTGATACTGTGGCTCAAGTGGTAGAGCATTCCCCTTGAGCTGAAGGACAGCACCCAGGACCAGAGTTCAAGCTCCATGACTGAAAAAAAAATTAAAAGGATAAAAAAAATAGGTTTCTAATTCAGGACCATGGATTAAAAAATTTTGAGTTGCAGGCTGGAAATGTGGCTTCGTGGTAGAGTACTGGCCTAGCATGCATGAAGCCCTGGGTTCAATTCCTCAATACCACATAAACAGAAAAAGCTAGAAGTAGTGCTGTGGCTCAAGTGGTAGAGTGCCAGCCTTGAGCAAAAGAAGCTCAGGGACAGTGCCCAGGCCCTGAGTTCAACCTCCAGGACTGGTTTAAAAAAAAAAAAAAAAAGGTTAATAGTTTGTTGACAATATATTTTTTTTTTTTTTACTTTTTTTTGGGGGTCCAGTCGTGGGGCCTGAACTCTGGGCCTGGGTGCTGTCCCTCAGCTCTTCAGCTCAAGGCTAGCGCTCTACCACTTGAGCCATAGCGCCACTTCCAGCTTTTTTCTTTTTGCTTATGTGGTGCTGAGGAATCGAACCCAGGGCCTCTGGCTTGCAAGGCAAGCGCTCTATCACTGAGCCACCTTCCTAGCCCTGTTGACAATATTTAAAGAAGAGCTGGAAATGTGGATATATATATATATATACACACACACACACACACACACACATAGAGAGAGAGAGAGAGAGAAAGATAAACATATGTATACGTATCTATATATGTAATCCTAGCTACTCAGGAGGCTGAGATCTGAGGATTGTAGTTCAAAGCCAGTCTGGGCAGCAGCCCTCATAGGACTCATCTCCAATTAACCACTCAAAAACCAGAAGTAGAGCTGTGGCTCAAAGTGGTAGACCACTAGCCTTAAACAAAAGAGCTCAGGGGGGGCTGGGAAGGTGGCTCAGTGGTAGAGTGCTTGCCTTGCATGCATGAGGCCCTGGGTTCGATTCCCAAGCACCACATAAGCAAAAAGAAAAAAAGCCGGAAGTGGTGCTGTGGCTCAAGTGGTAGAGCGCTAGCCTTGAGCTGAAGAGCTGAGGGACAGTGCCCAGGCCCCGAGTTCAGGCCCCACAACCAGACCCCAAAAAAAAAAAGTTGTGACAAAAGAGCTCAGAGATGGTGTCCATGCCCTAAGTTCAAATCCCACAACTGCAAAAAACAAAACAAAACAAAACACAGGTAGAGAAACGAAAGCCCTCAGGCAATGGGATGTTTAGAATTCTAGAAGGAAATGTCAATAAAAGCTAAGAGAGAAAAAGGCAGAACACTCTAGTAACTTGCTGGGTCCTTTCCTATTGTGTGATAGCCAGTCATCCCATCTACCCCCTGCCCTTCTACTACATCCATCTATCTGCCACAAACACATCTACATTCTATCAATGAAAAATCTGAGGCCAGCCAGACTTGGTGGTACACCTCTGAGATCCCAAGGCAAGGTTAGTGGAGACCCTTCCTGGGGGGTAGGGGAATGGGGGGGGGGGGGCGGGGATAGGGGGGAAAGAGCTAGGAGTTTGGCTCAAAGTGGTAGAGTGCTTGCATGCATGAGACTCTGAGTTCAATCTCCAACACACAAAACCCAGAACCTAAAGACTGGGCAAAGCACCTTGGCCTACCTCCTGCTATCCTAGCCCAGGTTGAGGCCTAGAACTCCAGAGGTAAATTCTCTCAGTCTTTCAACTGTGGCTACTAGTGCTTCTACTAGGGAAAAGAGAGATGCAGACAGTGACTCACACTTATTATCCTAGCAATTTAGAAAGTAGAGATCTAGAGGATCTTAGTTCAAAGTGAGACCAGGGAGTCTGAGAGAGCCAGGAGCTGATGGTTCACACCTGAAGATCAAAGTTCAAAGCCAGCCAGGGCAAGCAAGTCCATGAGACTCATCTTCAATTAGCCAGACATGGAGCTGTGGCTCAAGTGGTAGAGTGCCAGTGTTGAGTGGGGCGGGGGGAAGAAAGGTAAGGGACAGTGTCCATGTCCTGAGTTCAAGCCCCATCCAGGCCACTGAAGGAAGAAGAAAAAAAGAAAAAACAAAAAAAAACAAAACTTGATTTTCTCCACTTGTAGAAAAACACCATGAAGGAGAATGTCCCAGTCAGCATGTGAATCAGGGTGTAAAGTTGTTTGTTTTTGTTTTTAAAATGACACTGGCCTAGGGGAACACAATTCCAGTTTTAAACCTAATTATTTTCACTTTAGTTCCATACCTGCCTTCTAAAAATAGTATGTCCCTTACACAGTTCTGCTTTTACCATAAAACCTTACATTGTAACATAAAAATCCCCAAATGATTAATGAACTGCTGAGAACCCTGACTCGCTGGAGATGATTTTATTAGGAATCATATTTCCAAACATCCATCAGTACTTCAAAATAAGTGAGTACTCATCTAATTTAATTATGGTGACTTCACCAGACAGCAAGACTGCCCACAGAGATGTTTACACAAGCACTTGTCACTCCCTTAAAGGATGTAGCAATACAGAAAAAGGAGTCTGTTTCCAAAACTCCCCTTGCCTTTATACTCTGTAACAAGTTAACTCAAGTGTCACTTAAGATTGGTTAGACAACAGAAAGCATCTCAAGCACAGAGCTGGTGGCTCACGCCTGTAACCCTTATTACTTGGAACGCTAAGATGTGAGGATCATGGTTTGAAGCCAACTCAGGGCAGGAAAGTCATAACTTTTTTTTTTTTTTGGGGGGGTGGTCTGTTGTGGGGCTTGTCTGTCCCTGAGCTCTTCAGCTCAAGGCCAGCGCTCTACCACTTGAGCCACAGCTCCACTTCTAATTTTCTGGTGGTTCATTGGAGATAAGTCTCACAGACTTTCCTACCCGGGCTGGCTGTGAACGGGGTTCCTCAGCCTAATCATGAGACTTTTTAACTCCAGTTAATTACCCCCCAAAAAAGCGAGAAGAAAAGCTGTAGCTCAAGTAGCAGAGCACTAGCTTTGGGGGGGGGGGGTGGAGGGGGGAGGGAATGACTAGAGCGATGAAAGCTCAGGGACAAACAACACTCAGGCCCTGAGTTCAAGCCCCAGGACCAACAGATAAATAAATAAATAAATAGCAACTCAAGTTCAAGGTGTCTCGTCACTGTCCATCCTAAACCCCTTCTGAATCAATCCCGTTGGGGTTTCCTTACCCTTCTCTCTTAGGACCTGAGACCAAAGTCAGCCTTCATTCACCAAGACTTGGAAAAGACACTTCAGGACTCCATCCAGCACGAGAGAGAGAGAGAGAGAGAGAGAGAGAGAGAGAGAGAGGGAGGGAGGGAGAGAGAGGGAGGGAGAGAGAGGGGGGAACAGAAAGACAGAGAGAGACAGAGAGAAGGGGAGGAGACACGCTTTTATGGGGGGGTTGTGTTTAAGCAACTGAGGTTAGCAGCAGCAACAAGCAGAGATAGCTCGGCAGGAATAAAGGGGTTTCCCCCCTACACACACACACACACACACACACACACACACACACACACACCCAGACCACACTGCCCATGGCTTCCAGGAGATGCAGCTCCCCCCACCCACCCCCACCCCATCCGGGACCCACCCACCCACCCACGAACGAATGAATGAATGAATGAATGCACCGGTGCATTGGAAACCTAGGCCCCGGCGCCGCCCCCCCACCCCACCCTCGAGTGCGGAATTCCCTAAAACACACATTTCCGTATAAATGTAAAAAAAAAAAAAAAAAGAAGGAAGCACCTGACAGGGAGTCGCGGGGTGTGTGGGGGGGAACCCCCGAGGTGTCGGGGGGGGGGCGGTGGGACCCCCCCCCCCGCCCCCGAGGTGTCGGCGGTGTGACCCGGCCCGGGGCAAAGGCCGCCCCGCCCCACCCGCGAGGCGCCCCGGCGGCGGGCTGCCCGGAGCCTCGGAGGCCTTGGGGCGCCGCTGATCTCGGGGAGCCCCAGGCGGAGCCCCCCCCACACACACACCTTTCCACACACATACGCTGACAGGAAATTGGGGTGCAAGCCTCTCCACACACCCCCCACCACACACACAAGCGTTCCAGTCAAGACTCTCCGGCTGCGCCGCCGCCGCCGCATCCGGGTCCCGCGCCGCCGCCGCCGCACTCACCTGCCCTGCGCCGCGGCGGCTGCTGCCCGCCGCTCCGCCGCCGGTTCCTGACGCGCCGTCAGCACCCCGCGCCGCCGCCAGCGCCCGGCTCCCGCGCCCCCATCCTCCTCGCCTCTCTCCGTCACCCCCTGTCTGTCCACACCGCGCACTACACCCTCCTCCCGCCGCCGCCGCGCACCGCCATGGCCCCGCGCTCCCTCCGCCACAGCCGCCGCCGCTGCCAAACACCGACCGCCGGCTCGTGTGTGCGCGCGCGCGCCGCCGCCGCCCCCGCCGTGCGCGCGCGCCTCCAAACCCCGCCCTCCCCCGCGCGGACACGCCCATCGCTCCGCCCGCTCGCGTGAGAGCCAATCGCTCGCCTCCGCGGCTGCACCAGCTGACCGCCGCGCCGTGCCGCGCCGCGCCGCAGAGCCCGGCGGCTCCCTCTCTCCACCCGGCTGGTCCGCCATCAGGTTCGGGGCGGGAGGGGAGGGGGGGGGGAAAGGGGGTTTGCGGCGAATGGAATTCCCCAAGCGAGCGGGGGTTTGTTGTTTTTTTTTAGGACAGAACCCAAGCACCTGTCCTGGGTCTTGGGAGCCTCTGCACCCTCCCTCTCCCACTTCTCGGGTACACTCCTCTCTCCCCCCCACCCCCGTCCCCACCACCGCTCCCCACTTCATTGCTCCCCAGATTCCTCCCCTGGGTTTGGATGGAGGTGCGGGGCCAGAGCTAGCCACGGCGTGACTGAGCGGTGGACGATCCCTTCGGACACGTCAAAGACTAGAGCCCAAGATTCTTTGCCCCCCTCCTCTTTGGTCAACCTGGGCCGGGGAGGAGGGGGGAATTGAACCTAGGACCTTGCGCAGGCGCTCTGCCCCCCCCCATGCAAGCCAGCCTTCCCCCCCCCCCTCCCCAGGGCTCCCCTCCCAGGTTTAAGATACAGACACCTGGAGCAATTGTCTGCAGGGAGCCTTACCTGTGGCCCAACCCACCCACCCCCTTTTTGTCTACCTATTCTTCCTGTGGTCTTACATCAGCAGCAGCAGCAGGGAAATTTCACAGTCCTGCCTTTACTGAGCAGCTTGGATGTAACGAAACGACTTTGCTTGCAAAATGAGCATTGTGGGGCTAGGGGCAGGGTGAGAGGTAAAGGGTAGAGAGCTTGCCTAGAATGCGTGAAGTCTGGGGTTAGATCCTTTTTAAAAAAAATACAATGTTTGTCTGAATATTTACCTATTATAAAGCTCCTGTAGGGTACCCTCTGCCCCTAGAATACCTCCATGTGGACACAGACTCTATAAGTAAAGCCTAGTAGAAAGCAAAGGTATTGAGTTCAAGCCCCACTGAGAATGTATATATATATAGAGAGAGAGAGAGAATAAATAGAAAGTTAAAAATTAAAATAGTATTTAAAATAAAAAAAAAAAACCACCAAACGTGGCCAGGCACCCAAGGATTACATAATCCTTGCTACTCAGGAAGCTAAAATATGAGGATCAGGGTTCAAAGCCAAGTGTTACGAGTGTCAGCCTTGAGTGGAAAAAAGCTAAGAGAGGGCTGGGAAGTTGGCTTAGTGGTAGAGTGCTTGCCTATCATGCATGAAGCCCTGGAACATTCCTCAGTACCACATACACAGAAAAAGTCAGAAGTGGTGCTGTGGCTCAAGTGGTAGAGTGCCAGCCTTGAGCAAAAGAAGCTCAGGGACAGCACCCAGGCCCAGTGGTCAAACCCCAGGACTGGCCCAAAAAAAAAAAAAGAAGAAAGAAAAAGCAAAAGCTAAGAGACAGTACCCATATCCTCAGTACTCCTCTCTGGCACTCCAAAACCAAGTGCCTCAGTCCTAGCCACTCAGACTGAGGCTTTGGGCTGGATAATGGAGACATGGATGAACAAAACAATTCCATCTCTGCAGCTTAGGGTGCACAGGAAGAAACAAGTCATTAATGAAATCATCCCATGATTAACTGCAAATTACAACTAAGTGTCATAAGTGGGGGGGGGAAGGGAGAATGACTGATAATTGTGGAAGCAAATGATAATAAGGAAATTAACCTAGAAGGGAAGCAAAGGGTCCCCTAAGGAAGGAACAAATAGCTTCCGGTTTGAAGAAGAGCCAACTGTAACCAGGGAGGAACCTCTCCCAATCAGAAAGAACAGTGGAGATAAGAGTAGGAAGGAATACGGTCATTTGAGAGATTTTAAAAAGGAAGGGGGGCTGGGAAGGTGGTTCAGTGGTAGAGCACTTGCCTTGCATGCTCGAGGCCCTGGGTTCGATTCCTCAGCACCACATAAGCAAAAAGAAAAAAGCCAGAAGTGGCGCTGTGGCTCAAGTGGTAGAGCGCTAGCCTTGAGCTGAAGAGCTGAAGGACAGCGCCCAGGCCCAGAGTTCAGGCCCCACGACCAGACCCAAAAAAAAAAAAAAAGATCAGGATAAAGGCTGGAGATGTTATTATTTATTTATTCATTTGCCAGTTCTGGGACTTGAACTCAAGGCCTGGGCACTGTTCCTGAGTTGCTTTTGCTCAAGGCTGGCACTCTACCAAGAGAGCCACAGCACTACTTCTGGCATTTTCTGTGTATGTGGAGGAATCCAACCCAGGGCTTCATGCATGCTAGGCAAACACCCTACCACCAAACCACATTACCAGATGTTCTTTAGTATAAATCACTTGCTTAGGATGTACAACACCCTAGATTCAACCTTAGTACTAATTTTAAAAAAGCTCAATGGCAGCATTTGAGAGTTGCAGCATTGCTAGGTGCCAGTGGCTCACACCTATCATCCCCAGCTACTCAGGAGGCTGAGATCTGAGGATCATGGTTCAAAGCCAGCCAGGGGCAGGAAAATCATGAGACTCTTATCTCCAATGAACTACCAGAAAAATGCAAGTGGCGCTGTGGCTTAAGTGGTAGAGCGTTTGCCTTGAGCTGAAGAGCTGAGGGACAGCGCCCAGGCCCAGAGTGCAAACCCCACGACTGACCAAAAAAAAAGTTAAGGTGCAGTGCCTAGGCCCTGAGTTCCAGCTCCAGTACCAGCACCAAAAAAAAAGAAGAAGAAAAAAAAAGCCACACATGAAGGAGAGCTGTGCCAGGAAAGGCAGCAGGCTATACAGGAACTAGAAATAATCTTCCCCATTGTTAAGTAGAAATTGCAGAAGGCCATTGTTTTGGACTAAGCTCCTGCTCAGACTAGGCTAAAAATCAAATCGAGGTCACTCCCTGTACAGATGCTTGTTACCCAGCTCACAGTAAACTGATTATCCCACCCGCAGAGAGGTCAGCACTATGGAGATAAGGGCCAAATTTCCTCAATTTCCACAGCCCTATCCTGAAGTTTCCTAGGCTTTAATCTTTTTACAGAAATGATAACCTAAGATGAACTAATCAGTTACTTTTCCATTATTCTGTCTCCACCTTATAAAGAAAATATATTTGAGGGCTGGGAAGGTGGCTCAGTGGTAGAGAGCTTGCCTTGCATGCCTGAGGCCCTGGGTTCGATTCCTCAGCACCACATAAGCAAAAAGAAAAAAGCCGGAAGTGGCACTGTGGCTCAAGTGGTAGAGCGCTAGCCTTGAGCTGAAGAGCTGAGGGACAGCGCCCAGGCCCAGAGTTCAGGCCCCATGGCCGGACCCAAAAAAAAGAGTTGGACAACCAAAGACAAAGGTGGTGATGATGATGATGATGATGATATGTAGTGAAAAAGTTGGCCACAGAGATTCCTCCCTGAAATCTCAGTTACTCAGGAGGCCAAAGCCAGAAAATCAATTAAACTCCAAGAGTTCAAAGCCACCCAAAAAAAAAAAAGTCTGGTGTGATAGTGCAGGCCAGTCATTCTGCCATTCATGAAGCAGTGGCACCAATATGTACAAGTCAAAGGTCAGGAGATGGGTGCTGGAGGCTCACACCTGTAATCCTAGCTAGATACTTAGAAGGCCAAGATCTGAGGATCAAGGTTTGAGGCCAAGAAAGTCCAGGAGACTTTTACCTCCAGTTAACTTGTGTGAAAACCTAGAAGTGGAGGTGTGGCTCAAGTGGTAGAGGGTCAGCCTTGAGCCCAAAAGCTAAGGGACAGTGCTCAAGCTCTAATAGTGGCACCAAAAAATTAAAAAAAAAAGATTGGGGGGGGAGGTAACTAGGGATCAGACCCAGAGCATTGCACCTGGATTTCAAGGGCTTAAACCCGGGGTCTTGCTGCATAAATCTTCAGCAAATACACAGTCCTCTCCTTCACATACAACCACGTAGCACGGTGCTGAAACAGGGAATCAGATGCCATCTCTTTGGGGCCAGTACCCCTGTGCCTACCACACCACTCAGTCCCCCCAACCTCCCTCCATGATGATAGCCTGTTCACTGCTTTCTGAGAAGATGCCACTCAAGGCCTAAGGCATGGCGTTCAGGGCAGCAAGATTTAAAAACAAACCAAAAATGATCGTCAGTGTTGAACCCCATTAGGTCATCTGTTATTTTAAAAAGGAGAAGAAGGTCGGGGAAGAACAGGGAAAACACACCTGACGGTTCATAGGATTAAACGGCCTGGAGGATGTAACACAGGCCAAGCAAAGCACAGAAATCCAGAGCTCTCCCTATAACAGCATCCGGAAATTGTGCCTGCACTTCCCCTCGGGTTCATTCAATGAGCTTTGCAGGTGTTATTTTCCAAAGATGCACATCTGGGGAGGACTTGGAAGTTGGAAGTGGAATCATCATCATCATCATCAACAACAACAACTTCCTCCTCCTCCGCCCCTCCTCCTCCTCTTCCTTCTCCTCCTCCTCTCTTCTCCTCCTCCTCCTCCTCCTCCTCTTATTTGTTCTTCCACCCTCTACTTCCTCCCCTCTCCTCCTTTTCATTTTCCTCTTCCTCCTTTAACAGAGCCTTTCTATGTAGCTCCAAGCTGGTCTTGAACTTCTGCCTCTCTGCCTCCATAGTGCAGAGATTACAGGTATGAGGAGCCAGCCGCCTTCCTACTCTCACCTTTTACCACAGTTCCAGACAGACAAAGCTGAATGCAGCTTTCCTTAAACGATTTTCTTGCCACCTCCCCCCCCCCCACCCCCACCCCCTCCTTGAGAGATGCATTTTGCACTGTAGCTCAGGACTTAGAAGGATTTGCCCTGGTAATTCTGTCTGCTGAAATGTAAATTTAGTGATCAAGTGCTTCCTATGAGTGTTACTCACTGTGCCTAATT